TCATGGTCCCCAAATAATTAGCTAGATAGTCAGTACTCGTAGCACTAATTTCCAAGACATGTTCTACGTGGGGATCATCTGTTCTATCTAGACAATCTATCCCTGGCGACTTTGGGCTTCAAAGCCACCATCCAGGCACCTCAAGGCCGCCATCCGCCAAGGCATTGATGTCCTTCGCCTGCTCGATGCTCATTGCCCCTCGGAGAGCGGTGTCTCCCGGTGGTGACCGTGACTGAAAGAGACGAAAGAAAGAGTCCAAAGGGAGATGAAGGGTGCACACACGGGTCGAATTCTTCTCATGTTGCACGAGAGTTCCTTTAATTTGTTTTTGGAAGCTGGAGGCTACTCTTTCCGCCATGAAAGGTGAGGTGGACTCTTTTCCTCTTTCCCGGTCGCACTGTGGGTCCCTATTCAATTGCTCGGCATGCATCGAATCCAGAAACCAAACGATCCGACGCTCCCCCCCGCTGGGTGACCGCGTTGCTTCGACGGAGCGGCGCCGCAGCAGGTGGCCAACTTGGCCACCGTCGGCTTCTCCCTGAAGCTGTCCGTTCCTGTCGCCGGGGCATCCCAGACGGCTGACGCGCGAGGTGTGGCCAGCGCCGGGCCAGAAGCGAAACAGATGAACCCCGAACAGGGAACAGGTGAGGGTGAGCTCAGCGAGCTCTGAGAGATTGGCTCATTTTGTGTGGCAAAGTTAGATTAGAGTTAGATTATGTTGGAACAAGAAGCCACTGGGAACAAGGGCATCGCTACTAGTAACAAAGCGCATTACTACCAGGAGCAAATAGCTAGTAGTAACAAGAAGCTACTAGAAACAAGGGCAATTATGTTGGATTGATTTGCATGCTGTACTTACTCTCCACATTGACACCATGATTCACCCTCACTCGGGGCCCAAGGTGGCTCTTTTGTGGGAGTTCTGCTATTTGCTCGAGCGCTTTGACAAGCCGGGCACTTAGAAGTGTGGGGAAGCAACGAGAAGGATCCAGAAGGACTCTTCCTTGAAAATTCCATTCACTCTGTACAATGCGCAACCACTCCACTAGGCGATCCGTTTCTTTTGCAGCTGTTCGGCTACCACGGCCGGTTGGGGTCACAGGGGCTTCCCCACGCGGTTTGGTGATTTGGTCGTGACCCCTGACATTTGCTCTGATCGCTTCTTCTCTTTCGTTGGTGTTCCGTGTCAAACGTGGAGATGCTGAAGCCTTTTCGGTGCGGCGGCTGAACCCTGGTTTCACCACATGGGTGGCTCTGAACTCTGGACTCCCTGGTCCTTCCAAGTTCAGCATCTGGCGAAGACATCTCGATCAGGACACCCAACGACGGGTGTTCGGTACCTTCGTCTTTCTTCGACAAAAACGGGCTCTCGACGTCTCTCGGGAGAAGGCGAAGAGGTGCTGTTTTTTTCCATCCGCCGGACCAACGAGCCGTGGAAGTGGAGGTCACCACCTGTTCGTCGAGAAAAACGGGTCCGACGGCCCTAACAGACGCCACTTAGGAGTGAAATCATGGTTGGGGCGACACGGTGGTGCTCGTGGTTTGATCTACCCGTGCCATATAGTACCAAGTGAAGGTGGATCACTGTGGGCACCTTCCAGGGTGCAACAGACACTATACAAGTACTCTACCTTGGTGGTTAACATGTAACTCTAGTGATTAGTTACCTTGTCCAATTAAAGGAAACCCTCCTGTTTCTTGCCTCCATTAGCTCAGGTGAGAGTGCCTTTCTACGAGCCTGCAACCGGCCGTAGTTGGCGGCATCTCCTGTGGCACAGTGGTACGTGACCGATTTTGGTGTCCCACCCTTTTTTCCGTCAACTTTGACGGACGACCCCTCGAAACGGGGCGAAGCGCTGCTTACAGATGATGTTAGATGAAAGATCCACACAACCCACAAGTTGGATGATTATTGACTGTTGGAGAGAACTGGATCCACATGTCCTCATTGGATAGGAGGTGTTTTGAGAAGGACAGGGGCTGTGGTATCGAACATCAATCATGTTGGAATTCCAAATCATGGTATTTCGATGATGTATGTATCATTGAAACTCAAATTATTGATTGAAGGAAAAAACAATTACAAAACGTGAACTAAGCAAGCATGCTAAGGAGCTTTCGAAGAGACAACTCCTCTGATTAATAAAAATTGCAGTCAGCGCGTGCGCATGCTTTGATCGTTTACGGGCAAATTGGGGAGGAAAATTGATATTCGACAATCCGGCAAAATTGGAGGTGCAGGACAATATCAAATAAATTGTTTGACCAAAACCACGCTTTAAAATGTCGATCTAAACAAAAATAATAGCATAGAAAAATAACCTCCCCTATATAAAATATATTCAAAATTATCCATACCCATGCATCCCAAATATCGAATTCATATTTTATAATTAAACATAGAATTTCTATTTATATTTGCAATTTATTATTAACGCAATAAATATTATTATTTATTGTTAATTTGAAGCATATTATATTTCTTATAACCTGTTTAATTATTTAAGAAATAATCTTTATAAATTAACTTATTTAATCTTTATTAGTTCTAATTTAAATGTAAAAACTAAAATATAAAATTCTAATATATTTAAATAACGAAAACCTAAAATATATATAATAACGAATCTTAATATTAAATTCGATTTTTATTATAATTAATAAATAATAACGATAATACAATCTTTTATTTCGACTAAAATATTTTAATTTCGATATTTAAAATCGAATATTATTGTTTTTATGTTCGATTAAAATATTCTGTATTTATATATATAGATTTATTATTTATTATTAAAATTAAAATATATTATATAAATTATATAATAATTATTTTTTACAATCTCCTTTAGATATATATATATATAAATAAATAAGATTCTAATTGTGATATACGATATAGATGAATTTATCGGATGATTAAGAAGGTAAATATGCAAAAAATATTTAATATTAGGTCGTATATTAAATGACTATATATGGAATATATGGGTTTTGAAAAACATTGAATATAATGATTATAATTAATTACGTTAAATTATTAGATGCCAATATAGACCCTTTTAAAATTGATTTCTAATAATATTTTAAATATAAATTGAAATTCGGAAAATAATTGAATATAATATAACCCTAATAATGCCTTTAATAATGTAATATACATATTTATTTATTAATATTTCTTCAATTATCTAACTATATAAAAAAAAAAAAATAAATAAATATAAGAAATATATCGGATCCTTATATATATATATTTTTTTTTGTAAATAGACATTCCGACCAAATTTCATACATATAAAATATATAATATCAAAGACATATAAAAATATTAAATAAATAATTATATATTCCCATCGATAAATATATAAATATAAAATAAAATTTTATTTATTTAGATATATATATCTATAAAATATAAATAATAAACAAAAAAAAATATAAATCTATCAAAATCATTATTATTTTAATATATATTTAATTAATATAAATATTGCTTTATATTATATATTATATAAACCAATTAATATATTCATTGTATTAATTTAATATTAATATATATAAATAAAATAATAAATTAAATTAAATATATATATTTTCCCCATATAATCTGGGCACACTCAGGTTCTTACGGCAACGCGACGTGCGCGGCTAATTCATTACTATTTACAATATATTCATAGCTCTCGACATCATCCATATGCATTTCGATTGGGTAAGCTAGCAGAATCTAAATGTCTACGGCGGGTGCTTCTAACGACTATATTTTCGTCGTGGTACGCATTTTCACATCTAATGCTCACTTTTCGTAACAAGCGTAAAGAAAACCTTATATTTTAATATTCCAAAATCGATTTTGCGTAATAGTAACCAAAAATAAAATGGATTATTTTAGTTCGAAATTTAATTTCCAATATTAATAATCGTTAAATAATTCAAATTTCGTAACATATATTAAGCATAATGCTTTTTAAATATATAATTCGTTTGTAAATTTCGTAATAAATATAATATTTATTATATCTCGAAATATAAATTTCATAACAAATGCAATATTTAATATATATCAAATAAATATCATAATCAATATATTATTAAATATTTCGTAATAATTACAAAATTTAATAAATGTCGTAATATACTTTAATAACACAAATAATATAAAAAAATGCAAGTTTCATAATATATATTCATACAATTAATTAATTATAATAAATATTTAAATATTAAATTTATTAATCATACGCCATATATTTAAAAATAATAAATTAATTTAAATATATATAAATATTAAATTATCAATATATTTACTACTAAATATTTTATTAATTTTTACATTCAATATTAATTGTTAAAATCAATTATTGTTTTTTTCATTATTATTATATTTATCAATAATATATGATATTATTATATATTTTTGTTTATTTTAACATATTTTTTTTTGTTTTCAGAAACACTTTTGGTGGATTATGGTTGGCCTGCATTCGAATCTTTTCGTTCCAATGAATGCTCATCAACCCCATGATCAAATCAACAAACTACCAAGAAGATATCAAAAACCTCTTTGTAAAACGACGCATCTTCCGGAATTGATGATGAGTTCTATGTTGGAGAAAGGGTCACTCAGTGTCAAGTGGAGTCTGGTGCTTGAGCTCTCTGAAGTCTGAGAATGGTGCCCATGCTCCAAATACTCTTCTCTGGAAATGCACATGTCCTGAGGACGAACTCTGCATCAAGCTGCCATGTTTTGAGCAGGCTCGCTTTATGAACGTGTTTTATGTGAATTTTATGGGCTTGGCTTGTGTTTGTGTTCGCCAGCATTCTTAAACGATGTGCTCCAATATCGCATCCTTCACGACTAGTGCGGCAATTGTTCAATTTCTTTGGAAGGAGCACTTCAAATCATTTCAAATCGTTTCAATCACTGCTGCAAATCCCATAGGTACCCAGTAGGGTCCGTTTGACGGTCACTCAAACTCTCTTGGTCTCCGTGAACATCACCGAGGCACCGTGAAGGTGTCGAGATCCGCCAACATCGAGCCGCCGATGAACACGGAGAAGCGCCGGTCGTCCGGTGCCAGGACGCCTCGGTTCGGAGCAAGTCGCCCGGAGATTCGGGGCCTTCACCGGATCGCAGGAGAAAAGGACGGAGTGCTGGTGCAGTGGTGCGAAGAAGTTCGAGGAAGATGTGGATCTTCACAGTGGAGTTTTGAGCTGCCTTGCACAGAGATCACAGAGTTTTACAATCGTTTTTAGCTAAACACCTAACACATCCCTGTCATCACGAAAAAGACTCTCATTCCCTTCAGCATCTCCGACACAGGACTGTTTTTCTACACCCAGCCGTGCGGCACAGACTGTAATACTACATACCCACTACATACCGCGCTACTGAGTCGTTTCGACGGGTCAGCGCTACGTGTTCGCTCAGCGTCCTGCGTATTCGCACGGTGCTGGGCGTCAACTCAGCGATCTCCTGTTGCAAGCGTCGACCAAAGCCTCGATGCACCGCACGACCAGGTTCGCGAAACCGGTGCAACGGTGCCCTTTCAAAGTCCCCCCCAGACATGAGGTACAAGCTACTAGTAACAAGGGTATGGCTACTAGTAGCTAGAAGCTAGGAACAAAGGGCATTGCTACTAGGAACATGAAACTACTAGTAGCTAGAAGCTAAATCTCTGAAGTCTAACAATCTACATGAATCTCATAAGATTGCCGTTGGGATCCAAACATGATATCGCCATGCAGAGACTGCTTTGAAGCTAAATTCTTGGCCAAGAGCAAATGCCACGACAGGACTTGTCTGGTCACGGCTTCTATTCTTGTCCCTTTTGACTAGATGCATGATAGTATGATGATGCATGATGCTAGTCTGCCTGTCTCTCACTCGCCTGTGAAGCATGTGGAACCGCCAGACCTTACGGTACGACATGTCGTCCAAGCGCACTGCCGAATCGGCATCGGGACCGCAGTGGGTCTGGACCCTTTTTTTCTCAGCGAGGCTTGGTCCAAGGGGCCAGGGAGGTCTTTCCAAAGCGGTTCTGGGTGTCTTTGGCCAACCTCTAGTACTAATAAGCAGGCTGAAAGCCACATTTAGGGACACTTTGTTTGACACAACTTTACCATACTTCACCAGTGACTGCCTTGGAGTGTCTGCGACATATGCTCCCTTTCTTTTCAGTGCTTGAAACACCTCTCAAACTTGATGAGAGCTCCATTCTAGAAGCGTCCTTGCTCCTTGTAGTGATGCCCTTTGTTCCTAGTAGCTTCTTGCTACTAGTAATGCCAGGAGCTACGTTCGTCGCGTCCTTTCTAACACGTTCTATTCCATGTGCAGAACGACCTCTCTAGGCTTCCGGACACCACAATGTTAACAAAGAGATCCCGCCGTACATCGAGGTCACACCTTTTCTGCCCGGAAAACAAGGAGTCATCATGAGATTTTTCACATCTCATAGTTGTTAACAATGGCAAAAAAAACACACGAAACAGGTCGGTTGGTTGGTGGCACCATGTTTTGTTGGAGAAGGACATGCATTTTTAGGGATGTCTTTTTCATATTTTTCCTCTAGTAGATATTTATATATTCGTATATATTCGTCCTTTCCTTCTTATTGGAAGGGAACGATGCATTCGCTCTGCGAGACCGACCTTGGAAGAGACCTTCATCCAGTTGGCAGCTCGCACCGGATGGAGGCACCATGGATCGATGGTGCCGCCATCGGGTGTCACGTCGAACAAAAAACGAGTCGTGACGCAACGATTCGTTGCGGTTCAATTGATGAGCACATCCAACACCTGCAAAACTCACTTTTTAAGGTACCACGCAGCTTCGCTAGAGAGCTGCTTTCTCAAACCGCCTCAACACGTCTACAGTCACTCAATGGTGAGAGGCCCTTGTTGATCAGTTCTTTCTCATGACCTAGCTAAGCTAAATCGGATTCAAAGAGCTTATTGTCCACCACCTGTGCTGAAAGAATTCAGCCATGTTCATCTTGAATCATCCTATGTGAAAAACGGCAGTCCATCCAGCAAGCTTCCAACATGGAATAGGCTTCCTTTGGGTGTGTAATTGGAGTTGATTCAAGACCTCGTTCACAAAGCTCCTTGTGCCTCACCAAAGCTTCACACTCATCAACAAACTGGCGAGCAGGAGAAAGGTGTTCTCGAATCAGGTGGCAAGCTGCTTTGCTTCGGATCTATCACTGCATGCACGAATCTGCGAGTTGTATATGGCATTGACCTTGTTTTTCGCGATCGTTGGCCGATTGAACTTCCCTTGGATACTCCTTTCATCTCCATCTGCTCCTTTGCTGAAATTCAGAGACATTCCTTCTTAACCCACGAGACCCAACCCATGAATTCACTTCCCAACCCAACCCATGTGACCGATTAATTCAGGGACATTCATCTTCCCAACCCATGTGACCCATCTGTCTGGCGCCTCATGATGGCGTTGAAGACCTGCAGGTGGATACCCTGAGGCCGGTGATGGTCAAACAACACACGAGTCGACGAAAAACGGATCGAAGCAACGGGTTCCAAAACGGTGGCAATTTGTTTGAACTGCACGTCTGAGATCTCATCTGTTAATCTTGGGATCATGGAGTGCAGTTTTAGCATGCAGTGCAGAACGGTGGCATGTTGGTCACTTTGATGACCTTCATCCATCCCCTCTCCGGTCTAGAGAGGCGATCAAAAGGCTAACCCCGACCATCCATGGTGGAATATGGACCATTGTTATCATATTGTTTACATTAAACCATCGTAAACATCCAATAAATACCATCATATAGAGTACCATCTAATACAGCATATCATACTAGTATGGGTAAAATCCTCCAGAACATGGATGCTTCATTTGCCGCATTGCACCAACGACCTACCACGTCACGCGAAGCTCGCGCCGCGGTGAAGCCTCGCTCGCGCCACCGCACGCCGCGCGCTTCGCTTCGCTTCGCTCGCCTCGGTCTCGGGCTGTCCGAGGAGGGTGGGTCGAAAGAGCGCCTCCGACCGGACCGGTGGACTGGACGGAGCGACGGGCGCGGCGGAGCTTGAACGGTGCCGAGCAGAGCGAGGTCCGAGGTTTGGGTGCCGAGCAGAATCGTTTTTCTTTTTTTTTCAGGCTTTTGTTATGGTTTGGGTATGTTTTTTTGGGTGTCTTCCTTTCTAACTGAGGATCTGATGATCGATAAGATATGATTCATATGATAAACATGCTCCCTAAATAAAGATGAGCTGCTGTAAGTATTCCTACAGGTCCTTCTAGCGGCGAAACAAAGTGACCATAGAACTCCAGTCATGCACTGCTTCTGGTCATGTCGCTTGGTCTCAACATATGCCACTTCCAAAAACAGAACGCGAGGGTCCATATCAAGCAAGATTTGGATGGCTCTAGGTCTAGATTGTAGATTGGTCTCGACATCTTCCCCCAACTGATGGGAAACACGAGAGATCTTGCAGTAATCCATTTGTCATTGGGCAAGGACACACCTCATAGGTCGCTTCGCAGGTCGCCTTTTGGGAAGGTCTACTCCCACATGAACCTCCAAAACCACTGGGTTGGTCTTCGTAACATGGTCGAAACCACCACAGGTCAATAGACTCAGGGTCGGGATCATCTGGGTCAACACCTGGAGCTCCAAACCTTGGTAGATTGGTTTAGGGTTTAGGTTTAGGGTTTAGGGTTGTCTGGTCTATTCCCTTCGCTGTTTCGAGTCCAAAAACACCATCGTTCTTTTTCAGCGAACGCCAGTCCGAACAGCTGGCTCCACACCCCCTGGTGACGGTCGGTCTTGGGGGTCGGTCTTGGGGGGGTCTTCCTTCCTTCGTTCGCGTCGCCTCAGGACATCGAAACCGCTCGGAGTTCAGCTGGACGGTCTGGCCATCCGGCAGCTCCTGCGGTGCGTTCCGTCTGCCAGGCTCGTCGGGGGCGGTGTTTTTCGGCGTTCCGCTTCTCCAGATGGGTAGAAAGCGAGGTGATGAGAGTCTGGTCCAAGTGGTTGAGGCAAAAGTCTTAGATGGATGGTTCTCAAACAAAAGTCTTGAGATGTCTTGATGGATGGTTCTCAGACATCATGAATGGTTTGACATGTGGTTTGACATGTGGTTTGACATGATAGCAAAAGTTGATGGTTTCCTACAATGAAAACAGGTCCAAAGGCTAAGTGGCAAAGAAACCCAAACGAAACAACCTAGCGGGAGCTCCGCGGGCTTCTTTTCTCCTTGAGCCAAAATGTAGTAGGGACCACCGTGAGAATGACTGTACATGTATAACCCTGCATTTGAGCTGGATTATTTCTGTGCCCCCCTCCTTCGAAAGGGTGGTGTCCACACAAACTTGGCACTCCATCGAAAGTTTGGATCAAGCACTCATCGTGGCCATCGAAAGTGACGATCAGGTCATCGTGGAAAGGCAAGTCAGGCTAGGTTGCTGCGAAAACAAATTATGATATGGACTATGCGCGCAAGGCTTGTGTACAAAGAGTTTGGCCATGTATCTCGGGGTGCATTGGCCGCTTCTCCAGTCGCACAAGGGTGACAGTACTTTCTCATTTGTGAGAACTAATCTCATATTCCAACCTAATTTATAAAGGCACGAAAGATACACTTACAGGGCGCGGCAAAGCCAGCAGCACACTGCAAGGGCAACGAACGGCACCTCTGCTTGCAGCTTTGGTTCCTACCAAGGAGCGGCCAAAATGGCCAAGCAACACCTGAACTAATCAAGGTCGGCTCAACAAGGGTCGGATCTATTTCTGGCAATTGTTGCGATTTCTGACATTTGTTGCGATTTCAACTTCTGCTTGGATCAAAAATTCCTATCATGTCCAAGGCCGATTGCCATTTATGAACTTCCAGGCTCTTAGTGAACACGTCTGCTGCCTGTTGTTCTGTAGGACAGTGCTGAATGCTTATGTCTGGTTCTTTGAAAGCATCATACAACCCTTGAACATTTATCTTGTGTGTTTTACCAAGATGTCTTAGGCGAGCACTGTATCCGTTTCTGATCACCTGTATAGTGGCAGTGTTGTCCTGATGGCATGTCAAAGGAATTGGTGAATCAAGCAACTGCGACATGAACTCTTGTGCAGGGATTGCATCACTGAACAATGCACTAGCTAATGCAATGGCTTCCGCTTCAGTTGTCGAACGGCTGCAAGCTGTTTGACGTTTGGACTGAAATGTTATAGGAAAGAATGAACCTCCACCAGCGATGGCGAGCAATGACCCTGATGTGGAATATCCGTGGTCTACCTTTGAGGCATGGTCAGCATCCGTGAATAACCACAGACCCCATTTTGCATCTGGATCAAGTTTCAACCTCATCCTATAGTGCTTTGTTCCATTTAGATAGCAAAACACCCTGAACAACCTTCTGTCGTCATTTCTGCTCCACTTGGTAATACGTTTGCTGAGTTCATTCAATGCATGTAGCAAATCTGGACGGCTAAGTCTAGCTAACCAATAGGCTTTCATGATTAGCCTGGCGGCTGAACTCGCAAGACTACCTTGGCTATCCCAATCATCAATAGGAAGTGTACTTTCATCAAGATACGGGGTTGGGGCCTTCTTGAACCCTTTGAACTCTTTGGATTCCTGTTCGTACACTTTGCAGGCGACTTCTGCAAAGTCATGCATGTCTAGCTGCACTTCCCCTTCCTGAATCAAGTGTGTTCTTCCTAGAACCTTTGTGACTTCCTGCGGAGGTTCAAATTGAAGATGCTTCTCCAACTCTGACCAGAAAAATTGATGATTTTCACTCGGACCTGACACAACAATGTCATCAACGTACAATGTGACCAACAGGCCCCACTTTTTGATGATAAAGTTGGATGGAAATAATGCTGACTCTACACCGTTCATTTGTGTCATCAAGCTTTTGAACTTCAAACCCCAATGCCCCCCTGACTCGGGGTGCCCGTACAACGATTTGTGCAGCTTTGTGCATGGTCTGCGCATCCATTTGAGGTGATCTGGAATCAACTCATCTGGCAGTTCGATGTACGTGTCATGTTCTGTTTGAAGATCACTTTGGATATAAGCTTTGGTAGCATCTGATTGAGTCGTTTTGTTTCCTCTCTTCAGTCCGAAGGCTAAATTGATGTTAAGCCCGGCAATTGTAGTGGGAATGATTTTGATTTCTTGAAATTCACTTGCAAGACCAAACTCGTCCCTCACATTGTTGCCAAGAAAAACTATTCTAGCTTTTAGTTTCTTGTCTTTTTCTGATTCTGCATTCTTCCAACTCATAATTGTCATGAGTTTCCCAATCGCAATCTTCGTTCCTGACTTCCTGGATCTGTGTTCGAGCTCGTGCCTCTGGACAACATTCTTGTAATCCCATGTCCCCGCATCTATCAAACCTTGAGCTTCCTTCTTAGCTTCACTGAGTGCTGCAGGGTTGTCCTTCCAGACCTTCCTATCAATCAACTCATGAATGCTAATGGGAATTCCCTCAAGCTCAACTTCTTTTGGGACATGCACTGGATTTTCAGTGATTGACTCGCAACTCATACAAGGAACGAACTTGTGATACAACTCGGGAAATAATGATGAGATGATACCTTCGCACATTTGCATTGGATAGAATGCTGATTTTGATGTCTTTGATCCGTGCAAGTGCACATGTTTATGGCTATGGTCACATGTTTTGGTTCTCAGGCTGCGAACTAAACAGTCATCTGTTGATGCTACTGTCCATGGCTTAAATGATTCGCCTCCAACCATGCAACCATTGAAATGCGCAAGCTGAAAGTTGTTTGAGTTGAAGAAATCCTGAAGCTCTGGAATCTGCCAGCCGGAACACCCTGTTGGCCATTCGAAGTGAACCCTGCCACCACGCCTGAGGATTATTGCGGACAACTGGAAGAAAAATTTCAAGAGTTTCTTGCTTTCCAACCTTTTCAACATTAGCTTCCTACGGAATGCTGGACCTAACTTCTTGCAATTCACGTGTTGCCATCTAGACCAAGGGTTGCATGGTAGTGATCCCCAAAGGTCAACACCGTTCATGGCATCCGAATCCAACACTTCCAATAGCTGAGATTGCACTTCAAGCTCTGAAACCTTTCCGTTGCTTTCTGTCAAACGGATGTGCTTTACTCCTACGGACTCTGAAACCTTTCCAAGATTAGATTGTGGGCTACAACAAAACTCTATCATAACACCATATGCTGGCAACAACTTTTGGGCAAGTCTTTTCCCTTTCTTACCACACTGGATGGGGCGCGGCGAAGCCTGCAGCTCACCATCCTTTGCTTCGACTGCTCCGGCAGGAACGTCCGATGCCTCGGGATGCAGCTGAAAGATTGTCTGACCTGTCCAAAATTCCTTGAGCGATTTGTTGTTACCTCTCCAATGCTCATCATGGATTGTTTCCTCGACACCGCTTTCAAAGTACTTAACTTCGGTGGTTCTAGCTCCAAGTCTTTTTGCACTTACTGGAAGATCTTCAGGCAATAAGGGATTAAAGAGTTTCTTGCGTTTCACATGGTGGAATCGAGTAAGCAGGTCACCTTCAAGCTTCCAAGAATCAACACCTTTTGCAATGCCCTTGGGAAGTGTAAACTTACCCCCCCTGATTAACCCATCAAATCTTTCTCTGCAACTGGATGTATGGATTCCCTTTCCCTTTTCACAAGCTGAACAACCTGGACTGAAACCATATTGCATTAGTCTGGAGAAAGTAATGGCTTCATGTTTGGAATGGACTTTTGGTTCATCCAAAGGATCGTCTGCAAAGATGTCGTCTAATTCTGGTTCAACTTCCTCGCGACTCACCTCTTCTTTCAATGCCCTAACATCATCCTCCAAACGCAGTACAGGTAAATCCTCCAAGGATTCTAGCTTCTTTTGCACGGCTTCACGCAAGGGAAATTTATCTTCACCCGTTTGCACAACAACCATTGAAGTGAGAACTTGAAGACCAGATTTTCCTTCCAACCATGATTTCACATTCTGAACATCACAAACCAAATATGTGCGCTTCCATTGGATCCCTGCCTCAATTCTCCAACCAAGGAACAAACCGGCTGATGTTTTGGCACCAAGTTTGGATTTAGGGGCATTGGGTTTGTAACTGATCAACGCACCAAAAGGAATGTGAAGACCTGGAAGTTCATGGTCATGGAGTTTGTCCCAATTGCTAATGGTTGAGGCCGAAGCTGCATAACGAATCGCCAACGGCCATAATTCATTGAAGTTGCCTACTTGTACTAAACAACACCGGGTGACATCCTCGAGAGTGCGAATGGCTCGATTGATGATGGCGGTTTTCCTGTACGGGACGGTTGCATCATACACGAGACCTAGTTGACTTGCTGTCGACTCATACTCAGGAGTATTATCTGCATGAAATTCCACCAGTGGACGTTTACCACCAAATGCTTGAGTGCCTTGACACACTCTTCTGTGCTTTTGGTAGCTGCTGGATACGCCATTACGATTTTAGTGAAATCATCAAGCAAAACCAGGCATTTCGTTTCTCCTTTCAGCCCTTTCTTAGAACCATCCAACCGATGTTAGCAACGATGATGTGGTCTGCATGGATCCTATCCCCAAAGCTTTTACTAGGTTTGCTATCGGTTAATACTCGATCACCTTTAACACGCCTAGCAGGAACAGCATCTTGCTTTGCTTCTTGACAAATGGGGCAATCCGCTCTCTTGGGAAGATGTAAAATGGAATGATTCGACGAATGCTCCACGGCCTCTTCGTCTGGCGGCGCTGCTGCGCCTTCTGGTGCTAAGCTTGGCTCATACCCATCAGACTCTTCCTCTAAGGCTTTTGACGAATCACCTAAATCATTCTTTTCATCAACCTCCCCGGGCATATGCAGAATACTCACCCTTTCTTTGAACAATGGGACGTTTTCTCGAACTTCACTGGCGTAAAAGCGGGATGCTTCTGGGCAACTTACCTTTAAGTCCTTAAGGTTACTGGGCTTCACCAGGAATGGCTTTGGCAGTTCAGCGTCCTCAGAAACATCATGGCTATCACGTGGCAACCAAACGAATGCTTTCCCTTGCCGAACTTGATCACCTATGGACAAAGCCCATGGACTGTTTTCCAGCAAGTAGCACTCATTTGACCCAGAAAGTTCACCAACCACTCTACAAGAATTAGATCCATCTCTTCGCCCACCACCTGTTGAGAAAGTAACTGGCAAATTGGATTGTCCAATCATTTCAGGATCAACTTGGCTAACCCCCCCAATGTTGCGGCCAGCACCGGTGTCACCCAACCAAGTCACTTCTCCGGTTGATGCATTGAAGCTGGTAAACGGCACCTCGCACGATTGCATTGGCAATGACTGGACCTGATTGTCAGGAGTTGGAATGCCGGGATTACACATCAATGCAAAAGACGTCACAACAGCTTTAACGATCCTTGGGACAACTGCTGAGGCGGCTGATGGCAGGTTTCCTGCAGCAACTGCAAATGCGGCAGCGACACTTGAACCAGCTTTAGGCTTGGCCTTTGACTTAGCTTTGCGGCTGGGTCATGCACGAATGGGCATGGGTCCCTCCTGCAAGTGCCACTTGGGTAAAACAGGCATGGTGTACCTTTCTCACCCGCAACCACGTCTTTCTTATCCTTATCCCCCTTCTTACCACTAGCTTGGCTTGAGGATGAAGACTTGGGTTTAGGATTGGCTTTTGCCTTGGGCGGAGCCTTTGAAGACGAGGCAGCTGCAACATCAACACTTGTCTTTTCTTTGGACGAATCTGATTTCTCTTTCTTGACTTTCTTATCTTTCTTTTTGTCTTGCTTTGCGGAGGCGGCTGCTGCATCGACTTTAGAGCGAAGAGCATTCAGGATTGATGCGGTATTATGATCATGCTGTGATTCATCAATGCAGTCAATCATGGATTGCCATAACCATTGAAATGATCTGATAGGGTCACCAGCATTTGCTTCTTTGTACCGATCAATTTTCAACGCTAGCTTTGGGACATTCTTTAAGCATTCGTAAATCCAAGTCCTAAGGATTGCTTCACTAGGATACTCCGAAGTTTCGAGGCTTGACAGCACGAATTCAACCCGATCCCTGAAGACTTCCAAATCCTTGATCTCCACACCCTGGGGCTTCAACGCCAGTAGATGTTGCTGACTCAGACTCATTCCACGCTCTTTGTCGAGACGAAACTTTCGGCAAATTCGACCCAACAACAAATGACCCTGCACTTGCTTTCCCAAACGCACACTTCTCTCCTGAAGAGCTTGGAAATCAACCCCAAACCGTCCACCTTTTGCAACCTCTAGCAACTTAGATCCTAAGACCCGATTGAGAACTGGAAAAACATCTGATTCTTTTTCTTCACCGACTAGAGGGCCACTGAGCCATGCTAGCAACTCTTTCTCGCTGCTTCTGCAACATGCAACCAGTTGAGAAATCAGTGTATTTTTCCATGTCCTCATCTCTGCAGCTGACTTCGGTAGATTGGGGACTTTGATTTTCTCGTAAGCCTTCAACCGCATTAATTTTCTTTCGTTCTCATACTCGGGGTCATGATCCGATGATGAAGATGAACTTGCAGACACGCTGGATGGAGTAGACTTCCTCTTACTCTTTCCTTTCTTACTCTTACTCATCTCTTCTCTCAAGGTCTGGACTTCCTCCTGAAGAACAGATAAAACTTGATTGATAGAACCATGGGATTCAGATTGTGCATTGGCCGGCTCATCATCACCGAACAAATCAAAAGATTCGTCATGCTGATGTGTTGGTGGTTTCTGCACTGCTGGTCCCAACCCTGGATTTGCTCCAACCTGACCTCCGCTTGCGGGCAGGGCGCGGAATGAACCGCTGCTCTCTGCCGCTTGCAATCTTCCCACGAGTTCCTGATTGAGACGAGTGAGATGCGCGACCTGATTCTGCAATTCAAGGATAACTGACTCATCCCTGCGTTGAACTTGGTTCCTAGCATCTTCAACCGATTGGGCATGAACCCTTTCTGCATTTTGGATGGTTTCAGCCAACACCCTCTGGTGAATGGTTTCTGCCTCTGCTAAAGTTTGGCTTCTTACGTCACTAGCAACACGGGCACTAACATCTTGGACATGTTCCCTGGATGCTCTGGCCATGTCTTGGACTACATGTTGATGGCGTGATTCAGCTTCAACAATAGCTTCATTCCTAGCTGCTTGACTGGAAACCCTCCAAACTTCATCAACTACTTGGTGATGTCTTGACTCTGCTTCTGCAATTGTGGCACTACGAACTGTATCGGCAAACTGTTGGGCTGCTTCTGGACTAATTCCTACTTGAATGGATCTGGCATCGACTGACCTAGCATCAACAAAGGTTGCACTCTGCGCATGCAAAACCCTCTGACCTTGACCTTGACTGGGATTGGCAAAATCTTGGACCCTACCTACCCTGCTCAATCGATGTTCTTCCTCATCCAAATCAAAAGGGACTAATCTACCAGCTTCCAATCCTGACACATCACTGGCACCATCCGAGGCTTGATACGGACCTAAGGACCTCGACCTGCGGTTTGCTACCCTGTGTTCATCCCTAGCTCTTGGAACCAGGTCACGGTGTCTAGTTGATTGAGATGCATCCCCAACCGAACTCACCATGGATTTGTCGACTGTTGCAACTGCCAAATGCAATTCGCTCGAACCACTGGATGTCTGATTTGTTGACATTGTGTCTTTTGTATGATCTCTTACTCACGCACCCCTTCCACCTGCAATCCCTTTCACTTGCGATCCTTCACCAAACCCGATGGGACTCCTTTTGGCTTTACCTCACGATCCACTTGACCACCAGCTTGATCACGCAACTGCCGAATGATCTCCTCTTTGTTAGTTGCAATTCCAAAATCGCGCCTGACTTCAATCGCAAAGATACCAGAATCCCGGTACTGCCGAACAACCTCTCTCTGATCGTCAATCGCAGCTACCGCACTGAGCTCTTTTGCAAGACTGGCCTTCTGATCGCGATTGTAAATAACAAAGATCACAGGAATGACTGCTGCCAATTCGCTCTGAATCAAAGCCTCAATGTACTCACCACTTGCCGCCTTTCCGATGAAAGAACACGCGCAAAAAGTGAACCCGTTCCTCTGAAGCTCAAAGATAAACGACAGCGTCCCCCGTTCGATCGTCTGGAATTCGCCCCGGTGTTTTGCAAGTCTGATTGAATCTCTCGATGAAAGTCGCTCCGGAAAAATCACCGTCTTATACAGGTCAAGAACCACGCAACCTTTCAAGGACTCAAACAAATCGCTCGCCGAATCAAGATAGAATTCGCCCTGCTCGTCCCGAAATGCAACTTTATTCACAATCACGCTTCCGGAAACCCACCTCGGCAAGTCGAAAACTGCTTGATCAACACCACGTGACACTTCGCTCAGCCGCCTCACTGAGATGTAGTCACTCTCCGTCCCACCAGCTTCGATCACCTCCTTGCTCACTGAAACCTCCTCTTCCGATGAAATCTCTTCAACAAAGGCACTGTCGGGAAAATCAACCACTCGCACCGATGAAGAAGGACCCACTTTCTGAGAAGGTTTCGCTGGTTGATACTTAGCACTAGCGCTCGGCTTAGGCACAGCAACAACCCCGGAACTCGAAGATGACGAATGAATCTGCGGCGCCGCTCCAAGATCAGAAGAAGTTTGAGTCCCGTCCGCGGTACTCAAGATGTTCTCCAACTGATTGCTAAAGCCCTGTGCGAATTGATTCCGACGCTTCTGACGCTTCGCACTCTTGCCGCCCCTCGGTCTCGGACGCCTCGTGTGCATTCACTCGTCGACGCGATCAACCAAGCGTATCGAGAAAACTCAAATACCAAAGGATCGGCTGAAGACTTCAGAAATGGCACCGCGCGGGCGAGGGTAAAATGTGAATATATGGAAAGGGAAAGTATGTAGGGGGAAAGCCAGTACGGCTGATAACCCAATGAAAACAGGTCCAAAGGCTAAGTGGCAAAGAAACCCAAACGAAACAACCTAGCGGGAGCTCCGCGGGCTTCTTTTCTCCTTGAGCCAAAATGTAGTAGGGACCACCGTGAGAATGACTGTACATGTATAACCCTGCATTTGAGCTGGATTATTTCTGTGTCCTATCCATTATGTCTTTCTTTTTGAGACGTCGACCGTTGCTCGCTTTGAAAGCCAAGTCCTATAGAAATGACATGACATGACTCTGCATTGTGTTCATACGAGCTTGATATCTGCTTATATTGCAGGGATGACTGGCTCATTAGGATTCATCTCTTGAAAAGGCCCTGGATCATCCATCTGGATCATCTGGTCAATAGAAAGATCTACAATCTACAAGATCATACAATATCTATAGTTTGGTGTGCCATCTTAAGGGGTGAGAAGCTTCTTGAATGCATCCAAGCAGCATGCGTCATGGTACATTCCTTGGAAGTCTCTGCCTGCGTCCCACGATTATGTTGCAACTAACTTCTGCCAAGGAGACCGACCAAAGATACGCCTTTTCTAACATGAAGGGAACTGCCAGTGGCGTTTCCTTTTCAATGTGCATCCTTTTGGGCCAGCTGATTACGTACTGAATCCACAGTGGTTGCTACTCGTTTCTTTTTGATTCACGGACATTCCAATGACTCCGGGTATCTCCGTGTTATTCCCTCTTCACTAGGCACTCCCCCCTCCTGCAAGACACAGCGCATGTGACCACCATCAACGATCCCGCTCTCTGCGGCTCTCTGCTGGGCCTTGTGCAACTCAGCCTCGTAGTTCTCAGCCACATAGCAGCACTGGCAGTTTTCACGGTTTTCAGTAGAGTCCCGCGTGCGCGCACAAAATGAAGATACTGAGCCTTTGGAGCTGTCGAGAGCGAGATGTCAAGGTGATGATCAACGACACTTTTTCATCAAACATGATCCAAGAAATTCAGAAAACACACAATGGACAGTTCAAAAAAGAAAGAGCGGTCCCTGCAAGCCTTTCCTCGACATCATAGGTTTTCATGGACATTCTCATACTTTCTCGTTATTTTGGCATCTTCTCTCCATGGTTGGAAGCAGGGTTTTAAGCACAGTCACTGTCTATGTGCGATGGCATCAACTGGCATCAACTGGCTAGAAATCATGATCCTCAAACAGGTTCAAACTAACCATACCTTTGTGGCACAGGGCCTCAGCACTTTCCAAGCTCACTCTGGCAAACCTCTTGCACCTGGGATCGAATCTATATATCTTATCTATATATAGATCCAAAATGATCCAAATATATATTTCACTTGCCTCATGACAGGTCTTCAAGTGTTCAAGTACTCAAAGATGAGGCACTACGGAGCTCCAAATCGACCTCCCAACCAAGGTTTTTCGTCCTCCCAACAAGGGCCGTGGGGTTCCACGCCTTCTCCTTGATGTCCCGAGCAATTTCCTGGGCCGGTCCGTTTCAGCGGAAAAAGGGGGCAGCTGAAAACGTGAAGACTGGACTTGATGGTCAACAAGTGTGTTAGGTACAAACCGGTCCCCGACAACTAGATACACTCACTGAAATAATCATGTAAGGTGCAAAAGCAACCAGTTTGTAGAGGAAAATGGTCATGCAAGGAGCTATTTTCCACATCCATGATAGTTTCAGGGGGTGTAGACAATTTCAGCAAGTTGTTCGACGTCGATCTGTTTTCCTACTACCTATTTTTTGGGTCCTTATATAATATAGACTGCTGGTCACAACATGTAAACATTGAACTTTGATTTTAAGCTTTGGGCTCTTGGTTGAACCCCCCTGCAGGCTCTGGGTTCTCACAACCGATGTGGTCTCACAAGGACAAGAACAAAGTCTTCTGCAAACAAGCATCTCTTTCGGCACTGGTGGAGAGGGCAGTGCCTAGCAACATGCTGGGGTCGCACATGCCGGTGTGGCCGAGCCCGACCTCCAAGGACTCAAGAGTCGGAGAGCCAACTGATCTTTCTACTTTGACAGGACCACTGGGCGCCCCTGGATTCGACAGAAAAAAGACCTTGCCAGAGTTTCCGTGCTTCTCCGTGCTCGGGAACTATCAGAATCCTTTTGGAGTCACCGAATCACCCACCTTCCAAACATGCAGGTCTCTGTGCGTACTGAGGAGCAGACCACTCTTCCATGATCGATATCACTCGACTTGACGCGATCTGTAAAACGCGATCTTCAAAGCTTTGGTCGATCAAGTTGACCAAAGCATCGACCATGGCGCGATGCGACGGACCCGCAGGGGGGGGTTCCTCGAGTCATGCCGAGGTTCTGCGGGGACCTTTGGAGGCAGGAAGCATCGACCAACATGCAGAAGTTCCATGGAAAAACCCACGGGTTCAACAGGGTCTATCCCATCAAGCCAGTGGATGATGATGGTTAGTAAGTTTCTCAATAAATGGAGACCATCTTTTACTGACTGCTACTGGTAAGGGGATGCACCCTAAGTGGTGCAGCATGGTTGGGCCCCATTGTCTTCCGTTTTCCCTGCGAACTTCCGAGAAAAAACCGCTGCGGGCCTGCTTCGGCCACCAGCTTCATCACGTACCTGCAAAACTGAATCACTGACCTCCAGGGTCAATGAACCCGCGGTGAAGCCATGTATCTAGGGAGAAGAGCGACTTCCGTGGCCTTGGTGGAAGATGGGGTGTGATCGGGTCGGTTTAAGGACACACCATTGATGTGCACAGATTTGTTTCTGAAACGAGAGCTACTCTTGGCCAACTTCACGAAAGGCTGTTCAACCTCTCAGGCAAAGAATCTCTACAGCCACTGCTGTCTTGAAGCACTTGGATCTTAGTAAGACGAGAAGGCAACCAGTATGTCACCAAATACACACGTCCAGCCGTCAAGAAAACCACGAGTGCGTTCCGAACCGCGTCTGCGGCACCGCTTTCCCCCGGGTCGGTGGCCGCGGTGCGCGCACTCCGTGAGCTCACGACCCGCCAAGTGTACGCGGCCCACGGCATGAGGCACCAGGAACCCCTGAGGACGTGGACACCGGTGAAAACCCATGGCCAAGCTTCAAGCCGCCTGAGCTCTAGGATAGGGCCCCGGAGATTTGGGATGAACAAGTCATACTGAGAATTGACATAGGTGAGGCTTCTCGGCTTTTGGGATATGTCAAAGAGCTCTTAAAGATCTTTCTTAGAACAGTGTATATAACGGTTCCATGGTGAGAACCTCCAATGACTCATGGACCATTCCACCAACTGAATATGCCACTTCATCCAAATGACTCAGACTTGGACTTTTGGGATATTTTGGTCTGGTGAGACAGCGCCCTGCGAACTACAGTCAGTACATTCTTTTGCAAACTACATTCTTTTGGGTCTTTGCGAGCATGAAACGGTACACATTGTAAACAACCAAATACAATACCTGGGGCCACTGGCGTTTTCCCGTTGTGACCCGTCCAAGAGTCCTTTTTGAAAAGGACCCGAAACCATTCGACCAAATTTTTGCAAGAACATCTATCTCCTCCCTGTAACTGTGCAAGAGTTTGCTCGTATCGGTCTCCCCAACCATTTCTTCACCCCAGTCGCTTCCTGGTCTCCCTGGGTCTCCCTAAAGGTCCGAAGACCAAAGAGGTCGGCCTCGTAGACGGGCACCACGTGTGTCACACCATCGCCACTGTCGCACACAATCCTGCACTGGGCATCGCACGCAGCCCAGCGGCTGGGTGTGCTGATTTTGATGGTGTGATGGTTGAGGCATTTTGGTCTAATCTGTGTATTTCTTTGGGGGGGGTACAGGTACCGACCTGTACCTCTAATACATACATACTACGTATACATCCAATGGCCAATGGACATCACAACTGACTTCACAACTGTTATCTCCATGATGCAACGACCCTCGTCCAAAAGCGGGTCCAGCGGAGTTCTGAAGCAAGCTTCGGTGCGTCGTCGTCCGGTCGGTCCCGGTGGTGCGCCCGGAGGCATAGAGCGCCAGGACGGCTTGTGTCGAGACGTATCTCGGAGCGAGAGCGAGAGCGACGGAACGAAGACTCAGCTGGTGGAGCGTTCTGTACATGAAGATTCATGAGTCATCATGAGCCACATTTTTTGGGTTTGGGGATGCTGTTCATCACCCACCGGGGCTGCTTGGTGAACTTCATGAAGATTCATCGGGGCTGCTTGGATGGTTGTGGTGGTCGTCCCGCGCCTGGTGCTGTTGGTAAGCAAGCAAAGGGATCGGTCCAAGGACAGTCTTACTTTACCACAAACAGTTGGAAGATCCTCCTGGCAATTCTGCCTGGTGGTCATTCATGGTCATGGTCTTACCACCCATTGAATAGACATAGAATGGTCCAGGGGTATGTTGGAAGACTCCCTCCAACACCTTCAAGTGCCAAGCAGCCTGCCCTGGACTGAGTTTCGCACATCGCGGGTGTGTAGAAGACCTCGAACATGATCTGAGTCATTCGTTCGCGATTGGCCTGGCAGGACAAAGGCGATAGGCCGAAGCTTCGATTTGGATGGCAGGGCATCCATTGACATCGCTGACACGAACAACACAAGGATCATCAATGGATCCGTTGGACACCCCAAAACCGCCGACACCGGAGCAGTCGGGTGATTCCTGGTTGGGTCGGTTTCGGTCTTCCAACCGGTCTGGTTGTTACTTCCAGTACTGTCCGCTGTGTGAGTTGGGTGCACTCAACCATTGAGCTGTTTGTGTTCTGTACGTGAGCAGGGGAAGTCCCCCTCGGTCGACTCGGTCCCCGTCTTCGGCGGGAAAGGCTCGGCCAAGGAACACCCATAGAACACGTCGGTCTGTCCACCCAAGAACACCACAGATCGGGCACGGCAGTTTGGCAGCAGGAAACGATGATCATTGACCACCTGAGTGTGGCCCGTCCTTGGGATTCAGAGCAGCTTCTGCTAGGAGCACCGCCCGTTCCTCAGAATGAGGGGCACTGAAGGCAAAGATTCGTCACTAGAGTCATGGATCTCAAGTACCCCGACGGTGCAACTGGAGGTTGGAAAGGCTATAAGTATAGTGGATGGAGAGTAGATGGCACAATCCCCAAGTTTGGTGGTTTGTATGGACCCTCATCTAAAAGACATGTATAGGAGTTTGTGCCATCTAGAACCTCTGAAACCACTGTAGATTCAAGACGTGTATCCCGTCCATTCCAATCCCCGAAAAGCAGTGCTTGTGGCCAATGCTAGTGGAATTGCCAGTGGGCATATGCTATACAAATAACAGGCTATAAGCTCTCTCCCTCGTTGGTCCCACTTCAAGTAGTCTGGTTGATTTTGACCTCAAAAGCATCCATTGACACCAACTTGCTTGTGTGACCGAAAAGCTTGGATGAAACACATCGATCTTCACAGATTCCTTCCACGTAGAAGGAATCCCACTGGGCCTCCCCCAGCTGTACTTCAGTCACATCACCCCCACCACGCAAGGGTCTCTCCAAGCTTCGGTCGGCTGAACTCTCAGCTGGTTGAAGAAGGTGTGCTTCCAAATGATCTCCATATCTTCCCAGTCCTGCCATAAAAGCCCCAGACCCCCACGCATGGACCTTCCCAAAAGAAAGATACTTCAAGTGCCGAAGGTTGTGCAACTGCAAGTAACGAAACATCCTGAAAGGATCATTGACAACTCCATCACAGGACTCTGAGGACTCTTGACCTATAGATTGTTTAGCCGTTTTTTTGCACAGGATTGGATTAGATGCATGATTGGAACCTTTGCCAAACGTTTTCACCGGGAGTTGGCCCGACAATTTCTACAGATTCTGTATGCTTGTCTTTGTTGACATCCAGCTGTCAATGACCATGAAGGGGCAAGCTCTCCATCTTATAGGTACAACATACATACGATATGGATTCCCCCAGACAATGTGCCGATATCATTCCTTTTTAGTGTGGCGTGGTGCAGATGTTTGCTCGACATGTCAGAGTGTGGCAGGTGTCCTACCTTCGATCATCGGACCGTGACATCTCCCAATTCTTGCTACACCATGCACCCCCTTTCATCCCGTTTCCATTGAACCGATGCATCATCCCCGTCGATGACCCATGACCCGAAAACACGACGCGTCCACCCCGACGCGTCGAAATGCACTCCTCTCCCTTCCCCCTCTCGTTTTGCAGGGTGCTTTGCCTTCGTTTTTTTGGTTCTTTCTTCTTCGGTGTGGTCCGGCAGGGCTCGATACATACGCAGCCATCTTCGGTGCCGCTCGAACTACCACGACTGCGCAAGGCGTGCAGTAGAAGAGAACAAAATAGGCCTGGACGATGCCGTGCTCCACTGGGTAGGAGATCTTTAGGATGCCACGCTTCGCTTGAGCATCCTCTCCTCAGTGCAAGACTGGGAGGGTCTTGCCTACGAAAACCACTGGGGAGTGGAAAACAGTGGGACTCATGATGCCATTCGACCCGGGTTCATGTTAGTTTCCGGGAGTGTACAATGGTGGACTGCTGTCTGAAAGGCTTGACATGTGATGAGTTTCTCGCTGGACATGTTGAAGGGGGCATTCTCATCCTTCTTTTTCTTTTCGATGCCTTTTTATGTTATTGGATGTCTAATTTTCCGAGACAGTTTGTTTTTTTGACTTACACTCGCTGGAATGATCATGGAAAAATGGTCCCTTGGATGACCATTCTCCTCTGTACCAACCGCTGGTTTCCCGGGAGGGTAGACTTGGAGATCCGTCCAGGCTGCCTGTTTTGCAGGAGAAAGTGCTTTCTCCATCTGAACAAGTTCCCATCGAACTCCCCGATCCCGGACACTTCGCTCGGCCCAGACGTGAGGCTCAAAACCCAGTTGGAGGATGCATCTGCCAACGGCAAACATTGAAGGAGCACGTGGCCCCGCAAATCCGCATGGATCAACATATAGTTCTTGGACTTGCTGTTCAGGAACCGGGAACACATAGAAAACACATTACAAGATATTACAAGTATTTTTCCCGGTTCGGAGATTCATCCCCCTGAAGGGCCAAGAAACATCCTCCGATTCCTCCCAAAACCATGGACCTGTCGGAAAGGATCCCTGACCTCAGTGGATCCCATGCCACCACGGACCACTTCAAGAGACTCAACAGATACGACTCGCAAGCGCCGAGGATCGGTGACACCGATGGATTCAGGGCGGCCCAGAGCTCCGAACGGCTCCCTGTTGAGCCGTTCGACTGACCCCCGACGAGCCGAGCCGTCGCTCAGCTAGGCAAATGATCGGACCAAGCAGCCAACGTAGTAAGCTTTATCACCGGAGCCTTGCATGACATTCTCCTTGGTGCAAAGCCAATGAAGAGGAGGATGGTCATCTTGAGGCTTTGGAGTTTGATTCCATATTCTGGCTGAACATGGCTGAACTACATCTAAAAACACATAATGTTGCAGTATGTTGCAACTCAAATGTGAAGCTGACGTGAAGACGATGACATCAGCTACCAGCGATGTCCATTGGCATTTGAAAAAAGAAACCACCGTCCAGTTTCTGGCTGTGGGCCTGACCTCCAAGCTACGTCGTCTACCTACCACACCACTGTCCGTACGTCCTGTTCGGGACCCGGGACCGTGGACCTGCGGTGCACTAAGGTCGGGTCCGTCTTGGGGCGACCGATGATGGAGGTGAACACGCAGGTGGGGTGTTCCTGACGAAAACAAGTCGCACCAAGTCATGTGGGAAATGCTAAGTCGGCTTGTGGGGAATACATCAGATCCATGTGAGTTCAAGACGTTACGTAGATGATATAGTAGATGAAGGCAAGCAGTACACTGGGCCAGGTAAGGTTTCCAGGATCCTCATGTCAACTGGCCTGTGTTTGTTCTATCTGCTCTGAACTTGTTGCAAATCAAAGAATTCCGGCCTCCCATGGCCTTCCCACCCCGGCCTCGCCGGCAATGCCCGCCTTGCACTTTCCGCTTCCAACCTAAAACAGAATGAACACCGACTTTTCCTAGAGGCAAAAACATGCACCTCCACATAAAGTGCTTGGCAAACCTGCTTGTGAAATCTTTCAAGTTAGGTATTCGATGGTATTCGTTTCGGTCTACTTTTCGTGTGTGTTCCAGTTCGGCACCCCAAAACCAAATCCAAAGCACTCCCCCCCCAAAAAAGCCGCCCAAAGCCGAACACCCAACGGTCGAATTCAACGGTCATCGTGTGTGTCTCCCTGAGCTTTCTGACATCAATCACCACCGTGGGCTCCAAAGCCTGGTGAGCCCATTCGACGACATTCGTGAAAGCAGGAAGCAGTGAGCGAATCCGTGCGTTGGTTCAGAAGTCTGGTTCAAATCCAAGAATGACACCTGGTTCAAGCAGTCTTTGGATTTTTCCTAAGAATCCGGGCTCGAACCAACAAATGGTAAATAGATGTAGATAGGGTTTGATTCGGAGCTCGGACCGGGTTTCGGTGTCGGGTCCGACCCCTGGGAAGGTGGGGCCCAAGTAGTGTTTGGATCTTATCGAAGCTCAGAACGAACGTGGCCAAGTCATGGTGGCCAAGTCGTCTGAAAATGGCTCATGTGTCATTTGTTCCTGCACCTATCGTAGTTGCAATGCTCAGAACTAGGAACTTGCCGAATTTATTAGATGCTTGTCTTTGGAGTTTCTCGTATCACCATGACAAGTCTCCTTTTCTTTGCTTAGCTTCTCTCTTTGGCCCCTGTGCAATGCTTTGCATCCGGCGCCATTTGGCGCGTGCGGACACGGGGCAGGGCTCGGCAGGGCTCGCGCGCTGTGGCTCACTCAGATGTGGCCAGCACGTCGATCAGGTTTTGTCTTAGCTTCTGTCAAGAGCTGGTGAAACTGCAAACAGAGGTCACCATTTATAAACATTTATAGACATCTATGAGGTTCATCCCCTTAATCGCAAACGTATGTGCATTTCGTAGTGGGCAATCTATAAACCAACTTCTGTCCCAGTTGCCCTCAAGATGTAATTTTCTTTGGCAAGGTGCTTAGGAGCCTCATTGCTGGAGGCCGTCGCCGGCCGCTGTTCATGAAGACCGGGCTCGGCTTGTTCTTCAAACGCATCTCCATCTCCTTCTGACCTCACCACAGAGCGTCCATCCACTCCGGCCCCGGCCAGCATTCCGCGGGAGTCGTTCCTTTGGCGGGTTCGCAATGGGTCAATGCATCTTTTGCGCAAAATCACTCTGTTTTGCCCAGGTGCGCGAAACCTTTGCCCCCGTTGGTGCGATCTCGGCAAAGGAGAAGAGGGTCCGATTCGCCATCTCCTGCAAATACCCGATATCAGGCCCGAAATCGGGCCTTGAAAGGCTGGAGATTGAGGGGTGAGGTGGTCAGCCTGGAAAAGTTCTGTCGGCAAGAGCAGATCATATAATACACCTGAAGTACGCTCTTGGGAAGAATTCATGAAAAAAGCTTTCTGAGTGAGCAAAAATCTGGTGCTGCTGGTGGAGGCATTGCCATAATTGAGGGGCTGGCGGTGGGGGTTGAGGATCATCATAGTCCCTGCCCCTTGCTGCTTCTGGTCAACTTCACATTGGCATCTGATTAAGTCAAGTGATCCAAACGCAAGCCGAGCTTCTTGTAGTTCACATCCTATTCCCGAACGACTGCTCCGCCGGGTCAACCCGGCCCTCGGCCGCTCCTCCTGATTCCCCTGAATGAACTCCAGCAACTCCATGGGGTCCAATCCATCGTTGTTTTGGTCCATGATGACGTAAAACCTCAAACACTCACCCGGTCCGTTCAGTAAACCGGGGTTGGGGTGTGTTTTTTTGAGGGGCTACTCAGGAGAGGCATGAATGGCTTTTCCTCCCAAGGGTGGCAAACCACCAGGATTGGAACATGTAGACTCTTGATAGACTCTTGATAGACTCTACCCCCCAAATTGAATTGAAAAAAACCTCTGCACATGTTCTTTATTCTTTATTTTTCCCGGAACTGGGCCCTAAAGGTCCGTGAAACCGGACTGAGACCCTCGTTCTTCGGGCACACAAAGAGACAAGTTGGTGCGTGTGACGTGACAGTGCTTTGCCAAGAGACAGAGCCTCGTTCCCATGGCCAACGGGCTTGGGGCTTGGGGCCACTTGAAAAAAGAACACACCCGTTCCCATCCAGACAAGGAGTTTTTCACTTGGCTGGATGAAGATCACAACTGAGGTGAGCCGAAACCACGTTGCTCAAGATGACTCTTGCGATGCTCTTCTTACACCTTGCGAAAAGTCCGCTCACAAACATCTGGCAACACCTCGAAATGTCGCAAACTCTGGAGATAGGTCACTGGTAGGTCCCTGCTGGAAGGGCATATCTTGCATTTCACAACCCTGGTACCCCAAAGAATACACATCCACAAACTCGTCTTTTGCGCAGTGAATCTTCACATGTCATCTTCTCCCCAATAATTCAATGGGGAAATTAAATAATGGCCTTCAACCTAGTAGCAATGGCCTCCAACCTAATGTTTACCAAGAAACAACTAAACATGTATATATATATAAATACATACACATACTAAACTTACTTTCCCGACCTTTCTAGGGCGTTGAAATGCGTTGACCCGTTGATCCACCCCCGCAGATACTTCACTGCTCTTCCATAGGGACTCCCTGTTAGTGGCGAACCTCGTCCTTCTAGATTCACGCGACTCCGACGAACCAAGTGATAAACCTACAACACCCACGTGATACACCTACAACCTCACAGTGAACCCAAGTGGACAAGCCCTGGAATGGCAACCCCTTTTGTCACAGGTTTGATGTGCTTAATGGGTCGCGCCACACCAAGCTAGATCCCAAGGCCACTAGCACGTGCTGAAGTCCCACAATCTCCTCATCGTTCCGTCCACCTTCGCTGCCACGCCTAGCTTTGGGCCCAGAAGCTGAAGAAGCTCGGATTCCGGCACATCCCACATAGACAAGCCCAGCCCCCCTCGCACAAATTCGATGAACTCGTGCCTTGGGGGTTGAAAAAGCGGGACAACTCTCATGAACATCTCAAATTGCTGGATTCTTCGAACTCTATTTGCAAGGCATTGGTGAGAGTGGTCTCTATTTCAGGGCTTACGCATTTTTTGCAAAAGGCTGTCAACCATAATCATAGTCAATCACATCAACTCATATCCTCTTTATCTCTCTTCAATTTGCTCCATGATCATAAAGCTACACCGTCAAAAACCAACGGGCAAAGCCCCAACCGCGACACCCGCACCATTCGAAGGTCAAAACGTATCTCAAGTTTCGCCTCTTGACCCACAGCCCATCTCATGATTGCCAACCAAAGCGGACAACTGCTGGTGAGATGTGCCTGAGCAACATTGTGTCATTCACCTATTCTTTCCGAAACATCCGGAACCCATCAAAAGGATGTTAAACAGGGGAAGGCAATCAAGATGAAAACCCTAGTAGCGTCCTTGCCACTAGTAGTAATGCCCTTGTTACTAGTAGCGATGCCCTTATTACTACGTTCGCTTCTTCTTAGTAATGCCAGGGCTCGCGCCCCCGTTCGCGTCCTTGCTACCTGAGACCCTCCGGTCCCCCGGAGCGGACGCGGTCCATGGTGACGCGGACCGCGGGTCGGTCGAGGGACTTGGAGAGGTGCCCGTCGCCTTCGAAATCCAGCCTTGGAGTCAATGAGATTGTGTGATGCAAAACATCAAACGAATTAGGTGACTAGAGTGACTGATCTGCCTTTTTGTTACCAGGAGCCCCGTTCGTAGCGTCCTTGTTCCTAGTAGCGATGCCCTTGCTCCTAGTAGCGTTAGAGTGACTGATCTGCCTTTTTGTTACCAGGAGCCCCTAGTAGCGTCCTTGTTCCTAGTAGCGATGCCCTTGCTCCTAGTAGCGTTAGAGTGACTGATCTGCCTTTTTGTTACCAGGAGTTTTGTAGTAGCGTCCTTTGCTCCTAGTAGTAAGGCCAGGAGCCCCATTCGTAGCGTCCTTGTTCCTAGTAGCGATGCCCTTGCTCTCTTCAAAAGAGGTAGGTCGTTTCAGACGTCACATCTGGGTTCTTGGATCTCAGTAATTACTGAGAACATTTATCGTTTTAGCTTGTTCAACTCCCCAAAGCTCATTTCCCGATATTTGGAATATCTTTGAGAAGACTTTAGGGGATGATAGAGGATGCATTAAATTCACTTGCCATAATATGCCATGTCCATTTCGAGTATATGCATGTATATGCGGCATAACACGTTCTTCTTGAACATCGAATAATTATGTGTATATATATAGAAAAAAACAAGCGACCTTTTCGATGCCATCCAATCCTATCCTAATTACAGGAATGAGACTCATACATTCCTTCACAAGCCCCATCTCTCTCCGCCCAAGTAGCTGTTTGAAGATCTTCGCTGCACCCTCCACCGTGAAGGCCTTCACCCCGGCCTCAGCAGGGCATTCCGCGTCGCTCGCCGTGGGCTGAAAAGCAGAGTGCTGCGGCTGGAGGCATTCGCAGTCTATGAAAACCCGGAAAACCAAGAAAAGGATGGTGATCTCACATGTGAATTACGGGTGATACGCTCACTGTGATCACATGATGTGGATCCAAAACGTTTCTAGTCTTGAAGTGTGACTGTGACTCATGCTCGAGTCAAAAGCTGACTTGAACAAGGAACTTCTAGTGATGTAGCTCAGTCAGTCTTGACCACGCAGCTGACAACAGACTCTGCAACATCTGGTAAGGCTGGGGCAAACTTCCGACATGCCATGTTCCTTGGACTGGCGCAGCGCATGGACAAAAGGTGACAACCTCCCCTGGAGCGCCATCTGAGTCTATGACTGAATATCTCATGCGCACTCTCATGTGCCCTTCTTCAATCTTCCCATGGCCTCTGACCTACTCTGGAATACGGAAGCAGCAACTATTTTAGGACAGCTTCGAATTTGATGATAAAGACTCGGATAAAGTCCAAGCCTTTGCCTTTTCCCTTGTCTTCCTAATCCTTCAACCTTTGGAGCAACGCTTGGCCAGCCCAAAACTCCCGTTGCGATGGTCACGCGCCAACACCCTGGTCGATCGCCGAGCTTCAGATTTCGCCGCACACGTGCGGTACGCTTCATCAGCATCGCCTGCTCATCATGGATTCCTCATGCTGCAAGAGAGTCAATGGAGTTGATGTGAGTCAACGGGGTCGAAGCACCATGCATGCAATTCGATGTTTTTTCCAATATGGCAGTGGGTCAAAACAGCGGGGACCATGTTTTTCCCGCCCAGCAATGGGCAGAATAGATGACCAAACATGGTCAACCGACCAAGGTTTGGAGCTCCGGGTTTTGACCCCGCAGACAATCCCGACCCTGAGTCAATTGACGTGTGTTGGAAGACCACCCAGTGGTTTTGGGGTTCCATGTGGTCCTCTGGAGGGGAGTATCTCTACCAATTGTCCAAACACCACAGATAGCCCGTCATCTGGACCAAGGCGATTCGATTCCGGGTCAACCGATCAAGCGAGCTCAAGGTCGCAAAGAATGACCGAGCTGGATTTCATCACATTCCTCGAATGAGTATTGAGGCTGCCACAGTGGCTGCCACGATATGCTTTTCAAGTGATGCTGCTTCTATGTTGGAGTTTTGTTGTTGGCCATGCTAGGCTCCTTAGATGCCGAGAGGTTGAAGCTATGGTCCTCCTCCCAAAACAACAACATCCCTAAAAGGTCGAATGAGGTCGACCAGCATCATTTTTGAGCTCTCCAAACTCATGAGCCGCTACTGAGCCCCCTCTGTCTACACCGCCCTTGGTCTTTGGGCCACCCCCCTCTTGACTATTTTGCAGCCCCTCTCCAAGGTACTCTTGGGACCATGAGCCACATAGTCCAACCTTAACGGACCGGAAAAAAAACCTACTGACCCCACAGCAGTAAGCAAACCTGTACACACAGCAACCTGTCTTTTAAGTTTACCACACAGCAACCTGTGGCGCATTCACAAAGGCGAGTGGAAAACAACCGAAATCAGATACGCCTTGACACGTTGGCACACATTTCTTAAACATTTACCAGAAAATACAACAATATATATATATATATGATCCCCCTTGGAATTAAGAGGGTGGGTTGGGTCAGTCAATTCTATAGTGACTAAAACGCTGCATATGACATCAGAATTGTGAGGTTGCCTTTTTACCTCTATAGAATTGCTGCTCATGAGGTTGAAATCTATGTGAACCTCTATAGAATTGCTATCCACAGGTCTTGAAAACAGATGGAAACTTGTAACTCCAGCAACAAGTTCTATAGAATCAGATGCCTCAGGGTACTCACTTAAGCGTCATTTTTTCAAAATGAGTATATTGGGCCTCTATAGAATGGCAGGCTTTGGGTTGTAAAAATCTATTGCTTTGAGTTTGCTACGCCAATGATGATTGAACAAAGTCACCGTCACTGATTTTATAGAAATGCCCCAACCCACCCGCTGAATAGGAAGGGGAAAAACCAATGTCACTCGCTCAATCTCGCTCAATAGAATTGCAGCCCATTACTCCTACAAAAGCCATGTGGGCATATTGGAATTGTTACAATAAATTAGCATCTATAATGAACTTGCACACCACAACTCCCGAAATTGCATCTCTATGACAGCCCCAAGACTGAAGAAAGATGGAAAATGCTGGCTGGGAAGATACTGGAGAATGCAGGGAACAAACAGAAAATACCAGAACCATCCAGAACCTGTCAGAAATGATTCATTGCGAACCTCGAGCAATCTCGAACAATCCAAAACAATAGTTTAAAGAATATGTCGTATTCAGTCTTATAGAGATTGTTCAAGTGATCTTTGGTGTATATTCCAAAAATATTCAAAATATACCCCTTCACAAGGAAATGACAACTCTATAGAATATTATAGAATTGGAGTGCCTGGGTCAAACTATGCTATACCTTTTTGGTTTTGTTGCAGTCTCCCAAAAAAAGAATTTGGTTTCTATAAAAGTGCATTCCACAGGAACCCTTGTCAGATGCCCCCCCCAAAATGCTCAATTAACATCTTTTGGGTCTATAGAATTGGAGTTAAGTACCCTTGTGAGAGCCGCCCCCCAACAAATTCCTAATGAGATCCTTTTTGCTCTATAGAATTGCACTCAAGCACCCTTTTGAGAGGCCACCCAAAACATGCTTAGTGGATCTTAGTGGGAAACACTGAGGAAATCCCCCAGAAACACCGTGTCGCATCAGGAGTCTCAGTCACAAGCACTTTAGACTATCCCCCCCATCCCACACCCAAGAAAAGTGTACTGTTCCATGTCGTTTCCAATTTTATAGAGGGTTTACATTGATCAACTGTGGTTTCTTTGCTCGAAAGGAAATTCAAAAGTATGTCGAGAAAACCGATTTTATAGAGATTTCATTAGGGATTCACAGAGATTCCATCAACATCCATCAACAAGCTTCTCGTCCCAAAAAGATCCAAAGTTCCACTCCTTCCGGGCTAGCCATTCCTGTGACTGGCGTAGCAACTGGGATCTGCTTCAAAAGAGCAGGTGTACATGGTGTGTTTTCTGAATTCTTTGCTTTCTTCGTTGGAAGAGGTGTACCAGGTGTGCTTGCTGGCTGCTTGCTTTGCTTCTTAGTAGCACCTGATGTGGCAGGTTTGGGCTGCTCTGACTGCTCAATCTTCACTCTGTGCTCCGTTTTGAAAAGGCTGGGCAGCTTTGTCTTCACTGGCCCAGGCTTTGGAGTTGCTGCTGGTTTTGGATGCGGTGTCTGCTGCGTCATAGGCACGGGCTTTGGAGTTGCTGGTTCATGCTGCTCTGTCTTCACTGGCACGGGCTTTGGAATGGCTGGGGCTCCCACCTCCAAATAGTTTCTTAGTAATTGGTGTATACAGAGGTGGACCAACATAGACAAACAACGAATTTTGTAACATTCTGTAACATAGTTTTTTTATGGATGACCATGACTATATATAGAATTGGGATCCCTGACTTGCCAATTTCAACGGTTACCTCACTATAGAATCAGACTTCATTAGATTGAAAAGATCTAATGTACACCTATGTACCCTCTATTGAATCGAGGCTTAAAATTACCTAATTCTCTATAAAATCAAACTGTCTAACATACCAAATCTAACATAGCCCCAACATATTTGGCTAAAATTATTGCTTTTCGTGTAGGTACCCTCATCGATTTTGTAGAGGTTATTCCCAGGGGTATTATATATGTTCTGTTTGACGGTATCATTACAATTATTACATACAATATATACTGCTGTGAATTGATCTTTTTTCCATCTCTTTTCTGTTGTGCTTTATTTAGTCCCATTGGAACCCCCGTTATGGGGTGTTCCTTCACGATGTAGTTGACGATCTTGGAAGCTCACACAAAATGAACGCCACGCCCTCCAAAGTGGAGCACAAAGTCCGGACTTCCTCCTCCGGTTCCGTGCGAGCATGTTTGAAGGCTGCTTCAAAACGATAATTGTTTAAATTTTAAGCCTTATTTTTCAGACACCCGTCTTTGGTTTCAGCCAGCAACTTGTGGTCCAACGGGTCTGGCTGCAAAGCCGCGCACCGCTGGAAAAGTTCCTGGATGTCTTGCAGCCGCTCTGAGAAGAAGTCCTGGGAACTGGCGTCCGACGCAGTCCTGCAGCCAACGCTCAGGCAGCTACAGGGGCTCAGGGTTTTGCATTGAAAATTTTTGAAAACGTTTTACAGGGGGTCCTTCGGGAAGTTCTTCAGCAAATTGATGCCCCTGCGGCTTCCCGGCCCGCAGGAGGACCACGCGAGATCCAAGTGCTTCGGGTAGGAGCGGGCGGACCGAAGCAGGCGCCAAAAGTTGGTGCACTGAAACGGCCCAAGCCCGTAGAGCTTTTGCAAATCCTTGACAGTTATCGAATCGGTTCAACCATGACACTTTCTGCTACATTGTGAACAGGTTGTGTCTACCTTACCTTTGTGAATGACAAATTCTGAGAAAGTCTCAAAGATGATCTCGCGTTTGGGGCGCCAGATGGTTCTCGTCGACTTAAGGCGTGGACGGTCCACCTCAAGTTGAACTATCCCCAGTGCAGTCTTCACCCCGTCCCGCTTCGCTTTACGGACTGTAAAGCGTGAACGCCGGCCAGGGTTGAGCGACGAGGTGAAGAACAGAGCCGGGTTCTTGTTCTTGAAGACAGCGAGGAGCTTCTTCTTGATCGCAGACGCCTCTCCAGCGCCAGGCGTCCTAAGGAGACGGCGGGGCGCCCTACTACAAACACATTAACGAAAACAAGGAGGAAAAGGGGAGAGGGATTTCAGTTGCCAAGTTATGCCAAGTTTCTGCCGGAGTGCTTTCGCAAACTTTTCGGTGGCCAGGACCGTCATCAGGTAACCTGGGGGTAGCCGCGTTTAGTTTGGCTGATGTAATCTTCGGGCAAAAACACTGAAACTAACACTGAAGTCTCTTCCGGGCAACAGTTCGTAAACACGTTCCCTGGCCACTCCTCAAGGACTTTGGCCTGGGCCTTTGTCGTCCGGTCTGTGGGCCTCACATGGGATGAAAGTTTCGGCGCCGCTTCAACCTCTAACTTTTCAATACTTTTCACTCTGGGGTGAACAAGGGATAAAAATTTCATTGTGCAGCCAATGGGCCAGAAACATATTTTCATCTTCCCAAGAAGCCCCTGAATTGTCCACGCCCGCTTCTGCTGCCCTCCGGTGAAGTTCAACTCGAAGGGCCGCATCAGCAAGGCGCGGCAGTCTGGCAAAGTGCCATACCGCTTCCGAGGGCATTTCTCCACAGCAGCCCGGCACAGCATGCCTCCCGTCTCGCTCCCCTCCATCTTCCCTCCCCAGCCCCGTCCCCACCCATGCGCCTCCCGTCTCGCTCCCCTCCATCTTCCCTCCCCACCCATGCGCCTCCCGTCTCCATCTTCCCTCCCCAGCCCCGTCCCCACCCATGCGCCTCCCGTCTCGCTCGCAGCCCCGTCCGCACCCATGCGCCTCCCGTCTCGCTCCCCTCCATCTTGCCAGCCCCGTCCCCACCCATGCACCTCCCGTCTCGCTCCCCTCCATTCCTTCCCCTCACTCTTCCCTTCCCAACCCCATCCACCTCCACATCCATCTTCCGTCCCCGACAACGCACGCTTTGTCTCGCTCTTCCGCGGCACTAGCGACCAAACGAGAACCCAAGCATCGGAGATGCTTTTGGGAACAAGGTTAAAGGTTGCCCACTGAGGGGCTAAGCAAAACACACACTCTGACACTTGTATTCAGTGACTCAGTTACCACGTTGGGAAGGAAGGTGATGGAACAGCAAGGTGGAAAGGTCAGCTGAAACAGTATTGTTGAACAATGTTGGCACGGCACTCGCAAACGGCGGAAAGCGAACCGGCTGCACAGCTGCTGGGGACGAATGTTTATGGGGTGGAAAACGTGAAGAACCATGAACCAAAAAGTGGAAAAGTGGAGTAACAGCTTGTGAAAGAACGCGCAGGTACGTCGGCCAGCGTCCTGGCCGATATCCTAGGAGCATGTGAGGAGCTTCGTTGGATGGAGCCTCACATGTCCTCTCCATCCCCCTGCTTGTAGAAGGTGGTTGAAAAAGTTAGTGGAAAAGCGTGGAAGAAGTGGCGGTGGAAAACCCTTTGTCCAGGGGTGGACACACACAGGTCGCCGCATTCGGCGCTTTTTCAAAAACCGGTGGCAGGCGTGGTGGTTGTGTCCTTTTTGGACATAGAGCCTCACGAGCTCAGCCGCAGCAGCTTCAGCGCTGGAGGGTGGAAATGTATGTCAAGTGCGATCATGCATCTCGAATTAGAGTGGAGAACTCCAGTGCACAAGCTTGAGTTCTGCTGATGAAAAGGTCACGGCATCAATCTAAAAGTGCAACATGTGGAAAACAACATGCATGACTAATCCGAAAGCTGGTGGAAGAGAATGTTACCGTGTTTAGGCCCGGCGGCCGATGCAGCTGTTGATTCAAAGGGTGTGTCAAAGACTTCCAGTGGAAATCCGGTGAGAGGTGGCATGTTGGGTTGGTTGCTTACCGACGTGAAAATCCGCGCCCCTGTGACGGGGATCACACTCAGCACCCGAGTGGGACGGCTGAGCGAGACACACTCTGACACTTGTATTCAGTGACTCAGTTACCACGTTGGGAAGGAAGGTGATGGAACAGCAAGGTGGAAAGGTCAGCTGAAACAGTATTGTTGAACAATGTTGGCACTCGCAAACGGCGGAAAGCGAACCGGCTGCACAGCTGCTGGGG